GCAGGGTTGTGAGTTTACATAGTCTAATGGGAAAAAGTCATTAGACAAATATATGTCTATTGATAGTTTTTTATATGCTTAATGGTGTCTAATGGCTGTCTATTCACAACCCTGCTTATTGAGTATCAGATTATATATTTGTAAGTGGAAACGAAATTTAAGTGGATTCGAAATAATGTTTGGAACCTGATAGGGTATAACCGGATAGAGTTACCGTTGGCCACTGCATACAGTACCCGGATCTTATTCAAGAACTTGTTTTTGCAGCTACTTTCATAATTTCTGGAACACCTGATAAAATTGACCGAATGATTTTTCGGCCGATCCGGTTAAGTTATATATTTATATATTCGGGAATAATAAGATTCAGTAACAGATATATCAGATACGTAATTTAATAAGATCAGGTGACTAATATATATTACAATAAGACTACGCGCACTTGTAAGTCGTAAAATTTCAATCCCATTCTTTGGCACGATACATTTTTGCTTAAACGAAGCCTTTATTCATTTCTAATTATTTTTCGACGAAAATTCGGTTTTAAAAAATTGTATAAAATTTCAATTCCTATTTTTTGGCAAGATCTAATTATTAAAAAATTGTGTAAAATTTCAATTCCTATACTTTGGCAAGATTCGTTTTCGTTCAAACAATGCTTTATTCATTTCTAATTATTTTCGACGAAAACTCGTTTTTAAAAAAATTGTGTAAAACTTCAACTCTTATTATCCATTTTCATTCAAACAAAGCCTTTATTCATTTCTAATTATTTTTTGCCGAAAATTGGGTTTTAAAAAATTGTATAAAACTTCAATTCCTATTCTTTGGCAAGGCCATTTTCGTTCAAACGAAATCATTTATTTATTTCTAATTATTTTCGTTTCTTGTCAAAGATGAGAAATTCGGTTTTAAAAAATTAACCTAAATTCGATTCCTATTCTTTAGCAAGATCCATTTTCGTTAAAATGAAGGCATTTATTCATTTCTTATTTTTCGTTCGTCGAAGACGAAAATTTTATTTTTAAAAAATTCGATTCCTATTCTTTGGCAAGATACATTTTCGTTCAAGCGAAAGCATTTATTTATTTCTAATTATTTTTCGTTTCTTGTCGAAGACGAAAAATATATAAACAGATATAAACATATAAAATCTTTTACTTTGATTTCGTTAATCGTAATTCTTCATGCATTCTCGACAAATATTAATAATTTGGAATCTTAACCAGAGATTTATTTTTAAACCAGTCAACAAATTCATGTTCATATTTAACTTTTTTAATAACGGCACCTGTTTGTGTAATATATTGTTATAAAAGTCTAATTTATATTCGGATCCTTTTTTACGTTTTTTATTAAGGTTTATTGGTTGACAAGATCGTTAAATTTTGTACAAACTGAACACACCAAAACATGTTGGACAAACATTTGAACGAAAATTTAAAAAAGTTGACATTATTGTTATAATGATTATAAAACTATCGTATGATACCAAAATAGCTTTTATTATTTTTATTATTATATGGATCATGCCGAAATCAATAACTTAACCGGATCGGCCGAAAAATCATTCGGTTAATTTTTATCAGGTGTTCCAGGAATTATGAAAGTAGCTGTAACAAATAAAATTGGCTTTTATGACCCGGTCGGGTTATGAAAACCAATTCATAAATTTTATATGGCCTAATAGATCTGTTTTTCAAGCTTTCATATTAATTGTGCAGTAAACATGTTACTTGCATCTTTTAATGTGCTTTATTCATATTTACATCGGGAAGTGCATTTTCTGAACGCACACGAAAAGTATTCAACAACGTATGATGTCCCGAATTAGAACTTTAGGCGATAGACACTTGAACAATGCAACAAATATAGTAAGGTATGCTTATAAAATAAAATAAAAAAACCTAGACTTCTCGCTTGTTTCGTTATTTGTCTCACCTGTACCATTATTTTCGTATCAATTTCCGAATATCTGCCTGGAAGGTTGCATCAAGTTTTTTAGGTATGAATTTTTAAAGTCATTCTATTTTCATCCGGAGAAAATTTTCAATGTTTTACTATTACTGGCAGCTAATGATGATCATAAGGATGTTTTGGTTTTTGATTTCGATTGTGGTGATGTTAGCTGATAGTTGCACCGTTATCTTTGTTGTTTGCAGCGTATCCATTTTGGAACAGGTTTTGTTAATTTTAGCTCGTTATCCTCAAGTTTTTCGACAGCAGAACTTGTTATGTCTTCTGACTTCGGATCTAAAATAAGAATTTGAATTTTTAGATGAAATATTACAATTCATTAATAATGTTCTTTTATCAATATAAATTTTTATATGATCACAACTCCAAATAAATGAATATTAATAATATTAAGTGCTACAAATTAAATGTTAACAATGCTTGATGGCTACCTTCTAAAGAATTGTTCATGCTCGAACTCTCTCATTCTTATTAGGAGAAAAGATTGATTCTTCAACATTATTAGTAATGAATCAAACAGAGACTTTTTAACTGAAATTTCATTTATTGCTGGACATATATCCCGTGTGCCATTAACAGGTTTTTTTTTAAAAAAAATTGCAATCACAAGATTATATTTATCAAATAGAGAAACTCCATTTGTAAGCTCCCAGAGTAATATTCCAGGCTATAAATATGAGATTTCTCTTTGCGCTCAACCTTCCATGTTGAATAATGTATTATAGTTCTTTATATATAATCATGGCAAATATTATTACCCGCACCTGAACTCGAAGTAGTGCTATTATCAATCGTTTAATATGCTAAGGTCCATGATTAAGGCTTTCCCATTATCTATCAATATATTCTTACTGTATAAATGCTTGTGGGCGTTATTTTGAAAATCGGATACCTTAAAATATGTGATTTCAAATTAGCGTCCATGGACGTCCTGAATCAACGCGCCCCGTAAATTAATATAAATAAAAAATAAAAGATAAATAAATAAAAAGTGCATCAGAACTAAGTTTAGTATTAACTAAACCTATATTTGAGCTTTAACAAGGTTTTTTTTTAAACCTCGAAAATAGGTTTAATTGGTACCAAACTCAGTTCTGGTGCACTTTTTAATTTTTATTATAAAAGAGTATCTCATTATTGCTTATTCAATCCTTAGAAATAATGCACAGGTGGGCATTATTTCGTGCTTATACGTATCAATATATTCTTAGAATGCTATTATGATTTATAATAAGCAATTTAGAGTTTAAATTTAGGCAGAAATCAAGGCATTTGAGTGCCGTCAAGAAAGACATATAAATCTGCTTTTTAATACAGGAATCCGGATTTCTCTTAGCAACACTTATTTGGAAAAAAATTAAACCTCATTATATCCCGATGAATTAAGTAAATATTCTAATCCTAAGGTCATTTGATAAGCTCAGTCCATGAAATTTTTATAATGGCCTTCTTTGTAAATACCCTCGTCGATCGCCATCATTAATTACTGTAATATTAGATGAAATTACCCGTTGTTGGATTTAAAAGTTCATTAAATCGAGATATGCAAGATTAAATTTTACCGTATAAGCGCGTAATAACGCGCAGGGACGCGTTATTTCGAGCCCCGCGCGTTATTTCGGGACGCGCATGCGCGATAATTCGAAAATTTACGCAAATTTTTGAAAAAAATTTCAATTACTAAGAACTTTCTTGAGACATCATAGTAGAACTGGAAAGAGATACTTCAATTTTTTCGAGATAAAGACCATATAAGGCGAAAAATTCTAGATGTATTGTTAATTATATTTAGTATGATAATAAGATGTTGAACCTAAGCTTACTATATTTAAATTTATTCGAAGATTCAAAATAGTACATGAAAGATAATCTGGTACATATGGGGCGTGTCCTTTTGAAACGCGCATGGGCGTTATTTTGAGTCAAATATGCCATTTTTAAAAAATTTGAAATTTCGAAATAACGCCCATGTGCGTTATTACGCGCTTATACGGTAATACATAAAATTTCAGCCAAACCCTTTTATATAACAGACTGTTAATAAAAAAAAAATCTTTAGAAGTTAGATTAATTTACTATACTTTAAATAAGTTCGTTATAGAGTGGTTCATTATAAAAAGATCATTATGTCCAGAGTTAACTGTACTAGGAAAATGCATAGCATTATGGGTCCGGAACGTATATGATGATTATATTACATCAGAAACGTAGATTTGATATAATTAAATGGCTTGAAGCAACGCTAAAAAACGTTAAAATCGTAGTGGGTGAACAATCCAACGCTTACTGAATTCTGTTAGGAGGAATCGACATCGAAGGATCAAAAAGCAACGGTACCTCTAGCCTCAAATTTCAAGGATCTAAAGGATCATAGGTAGAGATGGGCAAATCACAATTTTTTTAAACATCACGCGCGTGATACGAATCCCGCGCGGGATTGGATCACAAATCTGCAAGTTTCTTAATTTTTTGTGTCCAATAAAAAAAATCAAATTTTTTATTCTATCGGTGGGCATTGTTTCGAATTTCGGCCCAAATTAAGCTTAATTCGGGTCAAAATTCGATATTTCGAGAATTTACGGTGAATATGTTAAAGCAGGTCAGATATTATATCAATGCCAGTCAGATTATATGGTAATGCCGGCCAGATAATTTTATATTAAAAATCCCGCGCGTGCCCATCTCTAATCATAGGCCACACTTTCATGGTTTGAATTCACACTTAAAATCAAATCAGGGGAACTTTACCCTTTTGTTCTACTTGAAATTTCTGTTCTCAATAAGCCCATCTTAGAACCCTGCGTTATTTTTCAATAGATGTACCTCCCCAACCAAACTTCCTACCTGACAATGTCTTCGATAACATCACGCTGACCTCTCTAAACCTTGAAGCAAATAATCTAAATAACGGAAAAGAAATAATAGCAAATGCAAATTTTAAGAATACCACGTTGACTTTTTTGAATCTTGGTTGTGTCAGAAGGGGAAATTGCATTAGCAAATGCACTATACAATAACACCACACAGACTTCTTTAAATCTTCGTTGGAATAACCTTGGATTAGAAGGGGGAAAAGCATTGGTAAATGAACTCCGCAAGAACATCCATTTAAAAGAATTGAACTTTCAATATAATAATCTTGGACCAGAAGGGGAAAGGCAATAGCAGATGCGCTTTACGAGCACCACATTGACTTTAAATATTGGTGGTAATCATATTAAATCAAATGGAGGAAAAGCAATTGCAGATACGCTTTTCATGAACACTACTTTGATCTATTTGGATGTTATAATAATCTTAAAAAAAAGGAGGAAAAATATTTGCAAATGTATTTTGCAAAACACCACATTGATTTCTTTGTTATTATAAAAGATAAAATGATTTGCTTAATATGTTTATCACTGTATATAATAAAAAATATTAATAAAATTTGGTTATAATACTCTTTTATTTTGTTAAATTGGTAAAAATTTACCAGAAATGGAGTAATGCAATCACACAAAATCTTCGATCTGATTGGTCTACATGGCCCTGTTCATCATGCATTATTTATTTTTTAGTCATGCAATTTATATGTAAAAATTTTATGATTTTTATTTATGCAAAAGAACGTTTACGATATATTCATTTATTATTTGTCGTATAATTTATCTTCTGAACGTATAATTTATGTTTTTTTAAAATTTTTTTGCCGATTGAGAAATAATATACATCGATTCAAAATTTAAGAATGACCTAGGTCAATTTGGAGGCAGAACATTTGGATTTTTCGGGCTGAATTCAGCAAGGTGAAGGTTAAAATATGGATTCTCGGGTTTTCTCTGGTATCTTTCATTTTTTAAAAAAAAAATTAAAACTCACTAGATCCCGACGAGTGATGTAGTTATTATGTAAATGTTCTAATCCTAAATTCATTCTATGAGCTCGGTCCAAAAAAATTTTATAATGGCCTTCCTTTATTTCTTCGTAAAATACTCTCGTAGATCGCCACCATTAGCATATTATAAAATTAGATGAAATTACAGTTGATGGATCTAAAAGTTCATTAAATCAATGATATGCAAGATTGAATTTTAATGCATAAAATTATAGCCAAATCTTTTATAACGAACTGCCAATAAAAAAATTGTTAGAAGTTCCTTAGAGTAATTTGTTATGCTTTAAAGTTCACTATAGAGTGGTTCATTATAAAAAGGTTATGTTTAGTATGATTTAATTATACCTCTAGGAAATCCAAATTATGTTCGGATTATTATGATGTTTAATTTTGATGCAAATGTATCATTATAATAAAGCTTAAATATTCAACTTAAAATAATAAATGCATAACGCGAATATCGAATAGTATATAATTTCTAATTTGCTGGTATATTCAATGGCTGAATTATTACAACTCTAAGTATGCGGTTGCTAAAATTTGTATAATCAAAACTTGTTACATTCAGTCTATAGAAATATACTTCTAACTTTTTAAATATTCGATTACTAATATTAAGTAAAAATTATCAAACGATGCTAATATTGGATAAATTAAAACCTAATTGCTATTGATAGGAAAATCTCGAAATATATGTCGTTAATAATTGGGTTGTCCTTTTTTTATTTATAATATACAAGTATATTAGGCCAACCGTTAAAAGGCAGGCCGTCCCTATACAATGTATATACTGTATATATATATATATGTTGTAGGTGGAAACGGAATTTAAGTGAATTTGGAATTTTATATTAGAAAAAACATTTTGTCATATGTACATACTTTAAATTCGATATTTGGGTATACTCATATAACTAAAATTCCGTGCTGAAAACTTTTGTTTAGAAGTCAAACTACGGTTATCATAGTAAAATCTTGAGTTTTTTTTTACGATTTTTCAGTTTTCTCGATGAAAAACAAAAAAATCGTAAATAACAGAAGATTTTACTATGATAACCGTAGTTTGACTTCTAAACAAAAGTTTTCAGCACGGAATTTTAGTTATGTGAGTATACCCAAATATCGAATTTAAAGTATGTAAATATGGCAAAATGGTTTTTTTTAAATATAAAATTCCAAATCCGCTTAAATTCCGTTTCCACCTACAACATATATACCACAATAAAACATTAAATCTGCTATTGAATAAGTAAATATAAACTTATCGCTACACGCATATAAAATAATAAAAATATCCAATTTTTAATATTGATAATAAAGTAAGCAGAAAAAAAAAATACTGTAACTTTACCGTTGAAAATCCCATAGATGTAGTTATCTTACTGAATAGAAAAAAATCTCATACATACTTACGTAGTAGGTAAATAACTTTACTATATATACGTACGTACAGTACGTACCTCACATTTTATCAAATCTTACCAAAGTTTAATCAGTACGGTATTACAATAACATGTATAGTATAGTTGGTTAAAGGTGTATAGTATATAGTATACTACAATAAGTATAATACTAAATTTACACATTATACATTTTGTAATAAAACTAATAAAAAAATTATATGTTTAGTATAAAGTAGAATAAAAATTTTATACATTTAGTATAGAGTATATTAAAAATTTATACATATATATATCTAAAAAAAAATTGATTGTATTGCATATTTAGTTGAATTGGCCTTTAATATTCAAAGAAGGTACGTGTATATAAACTTGATGTCTCATGTGACCTTTAGAACAGGTGCCAAAATAGATAATCATAAGTTGGAACTGAGTTAATTGTGTAATTAATTAAGGATATTAGTAATTTAGAAGTGTAAGTGTGATAATTAATCATAATATACATAAAAGAGGTTAGTAAAATATGAATATATAGAAAATAAGTAAAAAGATATTGATTTTCTAAATAAATAAATAATAAAATAGTCTTTTGTTAATATATAACATTTTGTCATTGTCATCATAAATAAATACCTAAAATTTAGTAAATTGCATTATTTAAATAAAGTAAAAGTATTTTAATTGAATATCCACATAACTTAAAGTTCAAATATGAAGCTCTATAAACTAAGCTAGATAATACCTTTTTCTAATTAACCCAAATACTAGTTGAACTAACTCAATCAAAATTTTAATTATTTATTAATACAAATAAAGTAGTTCCAAATTGGTAAATAACTACAGTCTTTTGTATTGCCTCATTCTCTTATTAATTAATTACCTTATTATATTAAAATCATTAATAAATTAAATTGATTTGAGCCGAATTCTGAATAATCGCTGATTAGAAGTACCAATACAAAATTGATATTAAATTAGTTCAAAAAATTAGGTTCAAAGTTTTATGATTGCTAGACGAATTTTCTTATAACTACTAAATAGTATAAAAATAAATTTTAATTATACTTAATGTACAATACTATGTATTAAAACTATACATCATATAAATAAATTCTAAAAAAGATACTACGTACTATATAATTTAAACTTAAAAAACTATACATATTGTATATCTACTATACATAATGTATACCACACTATACCATACTTATCTGATAAGTTATACTATACTGGTTTACTATATACTCAAAAAAAAAAGCTTTTGAATGTTTAATTTTAATATACTTTCTCATTTTTCCTTATTAATTTTTTTGAATACTAAATAAATAATAAAATAAAATAAAATAAAATATTAATAGTCAAAATGTTTTTTCTATATTCATCACTTTGTACAAATTTGACTTGTTCATTTTTTGAATATCATGAAACAGTTCAACAATTTTAAGTAATATATTCCAAAGAAATAACTTGCTATGCACAGTTTATTATAGTAAATGCAAAATAATAAAAAATGGGGGCTGATATTTCCACACCTCTATGTAGATTACTTTTTTAAAAACCTTGATCGATATTATCTCGGCAACCGTCCGATCAAATTCAATAAAATTTTTTTTTATTGAATCCTACAGATTAATAGAATCCAAATAAAAAAGCTTATCGAATTTGATTAGGAAGTTGTCGAGATACCTTCAATAAAATTAGATAAAATTTTGTCTTTGCTAATATTTTGATAGATGTTGAAACTTTTTTAAAACTTTAATTGAAGACATCTCGACAACCATCTGCCAAATTCGAAGAAATTTTTTTATTTGAATTCTAAACATTCATAGAATTCGAATAGAAAAAAAGTCCATCGAACTTGATCGGATGGTTGTCAAGAAAACTTCGATTAAAGTTTTTAAAAAATCTCAATGTCTATCACTGCGACAAAATTTTATCATACTTTGATTGAAGGTATCTCAACAGCTACTGATCAAATTCGATAAACTTTTTTTTTATTTGAATTCTATAAAGCATAGAATTCAAATAAAAAAAATTATCGAATTTTATCGGGCGGTTAACGAGATACTTTGATCAAAGTTTTAAAAAAAAATTTCAACAACTATCAAAATAATAGACATGGAAAAATTTTATCTAACTTTGATTAAAGGTAACTCAACAATTACCTGAACAAATTTTATAAAATTTTTTACTCAAATTATATAGATTAGAATTTAAATAAAAAAAAATCATCAAATTTGATCAGGTGGTTGTCAAGATACCCTCGATCAAAGTTTAAAGGGGATCTACATAGTGGTGTAGAAAGATCAGTCCCTTAAAACTATTTTAAATTTATTTTATCCATACAAAATTCTATATGCTTCTATTATGGTTATTATTATTATTGTTATTGTTATTATTATTATTATTGATCATGTGATTCTTTTTAATTTTTATATAAAAATTTTATACAAATATTATGACTGTTTTATTAAAAATAACATTAAATATTTTATTACTGGTCATATAATTTTGTCATCTAAATATATAATTTAAATTTTTTATCGATTGAAGAATAAATGTACATCATTTCAAAATTTAAGAGTGACTTGGGTCAATTTAGAATCGACCAAAATCATAATATGACTCAAAGAATATATAGAAAAATTCTTTGATAGTAAAAATTTACTTGTAAAACGTACGTACGTATGTTGTGAGGGGCTCCGGAGGGCCTAGTTTTCTATTTTTAGTATTATCTTATTTTAGTTTAGTAGTTTATTACTATTCTAGTTGGGTATAAGGATTTTTAGTTAGTATGAAGTAGACATAGCAAATTATTACCTGATTTCTAAAGTACATTTCAATATGTGCCATTTATGGCCTTTATTCCATTTATGGCCTTTATTCCTTTTATGGCATTAGTGGCAGAAATGAGATTAATTCCATTAATTCCATTAATGGCACTTTGGGAATTAATGCCATTTCGTTACAAAGTTCAATATTAAAACCTGTATTTCTATAAGTATGTAAAACTATAAAAGCAACTCTTCTTCGCTTCAATAAATAAAAACAACTAACGTGGAGTAGAGAGCTCACTAAAGTTCAAACTCAGTTATCGTTTTATGTTATAACTCATAAACATTCATTATCATAATTCTCCGATAATAAACTATTATATAAACCCATAACTTCGAATTAGAGCTTCATAACATAATCAAGAGCTATATTTGGCCCTAATAACTTGGACCAAGTCTCTCCACGCCTCTATCCACCTTTCAACATTAGAGTTCAGATAGAGTTTAGCTGTTTAGAGGATTGATTTGAATTAGATTAGTGTTAGTTGATATCCGTAGCACCAATTTTCTCCAAGTCTGATCAAGTTCACACTTTTTTAACATATCAATTTTGCCAATCAATTTTATGCATAAAATTATTGATTTGGAGCATTCTAGAATTTATAGCTGATCAGTATATGGTTTAGGTGAGCAGATCAGTATGGTATTGGTAAGCAGTGAATAATAGATCTGACATCCAGTACTGATATACTGATCTGCTATGATACTCCTCACAGTATTTTGCAGATTGGTATAGTATAGATGTGCAGATTAGTATAGTATAGGCCGATTTTTAAAATTATACTATATGGATCTGCAAAATTATAGAAACTAATGCTTATATATATAATATCTGGTCTATATAGTATATATTTAAAAATCAGCTTATACAAATCTGCTCATCTATACTATACTGATCTGCAAAATACTGATTATTCACGGATGAAAATAGATATTCATTGAACATCCAATATTTGGTTACACAAAAGTTTTGGATAGTCAAGGGTTTGTAATTGATATAATTGATTTATTTATATTTATTAATGCTTGCATGTGAATATTCATGATTACAATAATAGATGGATATCAATTCAAAATCTGGATATTCATTCAATGTTATTTGTAAACATCAAAACCTGTGAATATTTACTGAATAGCCATGATGGATATTCAAAGGACCCAACTTTTAATCAGTATAGCAGTATGGTATAAGTGAGCATAGGCTGAATTCAATATGATAGTAAATGCGCAGATCAGTATGGCATAGATGAGCAAATTATTATTATCTCTCAAATCAATTTATTGATATGAAGAAAACACTATAGGAGTAGTGCCACCATGCTGTGGCTCTAGGTGACCAGTGATGTGCATTTTCATTGTCCAAAGATTTTTGAGTAAAGCCTTCTCAATAACCACCTGTCCAAATTCAATAAAAATTTTTTAATTTTAATTCCACAAATATATATAATTAAAATAAAAAAATTTTATTAAATTTGATTATATAGTTATTAAAAAAATTTTTTACTTAAAAATCTTTGGACAATGAAAATTTACAACACTGTAGATGCCTAGTATTGGAAAACTTATGTTCTCATATTCTCATGTGAACATCCTTTTAGATTTGAGAACATTTGATATTCTATATATGTTCTCTATGAAAAAAAATTCGAGAACATAATGCTAAAAAAGCATGTTTTCTAAGTATAATAGAAAATTTCAGATGGAAATTGAAATTCTGAATTTACCCAAAAAGAAAATGAATGAACATAAAATATGAGAAGTGTTGAAATAAAAATGAGAAACAAATGTCTGATAATTTCTGAAAATAGGGATATCAATAATTTTAGAGACTAAATATTGAGAACATAAATAAAATTTTGAGAACACTAAATCAAATAAATATGTTTTCATAAAAACATAAATCTCAAAACAGATTTCCTACACTATAGGTGCCTATACATTTACTTATATTCTAAATATATGAATACTCAATTTAATGTGCACTTAAGTATTGCTTAATAGTTATGTGATAAAAAAAAAAAAAATCTCTATGCCAAGATAGTCAATGCAAAGGTGTATACATCATTATAAGGTATATACATTATTATTTTACAAACTTAAGTATAATTATTAATTTTCTACATTTCAATACTAAATATCAGATAAGTGTTATAGAGCAAATTGCTGAGCAATACTACTCACAAGCCAACAAGCATGTCTCTGAGCATCTCAAATTTCATTTTTACATCAGACCATTTATAGTTCTAACAATAAAATTTACTGAAATAGTGATTAAGTTCTGTAACAATACTTGCCAATGTAAACTAACTCACTTAACAACTTATTGTGATTTCAAAATTGTATGTAAGTTCTTAACAGAATTTTTTAGTTACTCATAATAGAAATTATATTTATTTCATACAAACTAACTCGCATTAATTATATTTTGTAGTTATCAGAATAGTAAGTTCTGTAACAGGAAATCATAATAGAAACCACAACTACTAAATAGCAGTTAAGTCCTGTAATAGATTTTTTTATTATAGTGTACCATAGGTACACAAAGTGACATGTTTTGTGATTTAGTGTTTTAGTGTTTTAGTGTTCTAGTGTTTTAGTGTTTTAGCATTCTAGTGTTGTAATTTGGTAAATCTACATTGTGCATAAATTACTTTCTTGATGTACATATAAAATAATAACTATAAATACATCAAAAAAGTAGTTTTAACATATTTCCTAATATAGTAATAAACCAGATTTGTGATTGTGTTTTAGTATTCTAGTGTTCTAATATTTTAGTGTTTTAGTGTTCTAGTGTTCTAATGTTCTAGTGTTTTAGTGTTCTGGTGTTTTAGTGTTCTAGTGTTTTAGTGTTTTAGTGTTTGTTTTAGTGTTCTAGCGTTCTAGTGTTTAGTGTTCTAGCATTCTAGTGTTTTAGTGTTTTAGCATTCTAGTGTTCTAGTGTTTTAGTATTTTAGTGTTCTGATAATGGATATACTAATGCATAAGTTCTTGATATACATATAAAATAATAACTATAAATACATTAAAAAAGTAGCTTTAATTGATAATCTGCCAGTTACCTGATGCATAATCATAGTGTAATATGATACAGATCACTATGTAAATTACATAAACAGAAAATATGAAGATTTTTTGACAATTGTTTAAAAAAAACTTTTTTTCATACTAAGTTAATTGACAATAGAGGTTAAATCATCCAAATCAGCTCAGTGGTTTGCGAGATATCGCTAAAAAAAGATTGGCCGACTATATAAAATCTTCATGTAGACAATAGTTTGTTTACATAAAGATTTTATATAGTCAGCCAATCAGTTTTTAGCGATATCTCACAAACAACTAGGCCGATTTTGATGATTTAACCACCATTAGATACGCCTTAGCGAGCTCTACAACTTTCAATTAATTGACCTTGTCAATTAACTTAGTACAAAAAAAAGTTTTTTTGAACAATTGTCAAAAAATCTCTACATTTTCTGCTTATATAATTTATATAGTGATCTGCGTTATGTTACACTATGATCATGTATCAGGTGACTAGCAGATCATCAATTAAATATATTTCCTAATATGATAATAAACCCGATTTGTATTTTAGTGTTTTAGTGTTTTAGTGTTCTAGTGTTCTAGTGTTCTAGTATTTTAGTATTCTAGTGTTTTAGTATTCTAGTATTTTAGTGTTCTAATGTTTTAGCATTCTGGTATTTGTGTTTATGTTTTAGTGTTTGTGTTTTAGTGTTCTAGTGCTTTAATGTTCTAGTGTTTTAGTGTTCTAGTGTTTTAGCATTTTAGTGTTTAGCATTCTAGTGTTCTAATATATAAAATATGTTAAAGTTATATTTTTGATGCATTTGTAGGTATCATTTTATAAGCCATCAAGAACATAAGTTATATACTATGTAGATCTACCATATTAGAACACTAGAACACTAAAACACTAGAACTCTAAAACACTAAAACACTAGAACACTAAAACACTAGAACACTAAACACTAGAACACCAAAATACAAACACTAGAATGCTAAAACACTAAAACACTAGAACACTAGAACACTAAAACACTAAAACACTAGAACACTAGAATACTAAAACACTAGAACACTAGAACACTAGAACACTAAAACACTAAAACACAAACACAAATCGGGTTTATTACCATATTAAAAAATATGTTAAAGCTACCTTTTTGATGTATTTATAGTTATTATTTTATATGTATATCAAGAAAGTAATTTATACATGATGTAGATTAGTCAAATTACAACACTGGAATGCTAAAACACTAAAACACTAAATCACAAAACATGTCACTTTGTGTACCCATAGTACACCGTATTTTATAGTAATTTACAATTGAAATACAATAATTTCTTTACAAATTATTTCACTAGTATAGTGAGTAAGTACTAGAGTTGCAGGTAAAACTAATCTTCAATAGTGCACCGATAGTAAAACTAGAGTTATAAATAAAGCTAATCTTCAATGTTGCACCATTGGCATACCAGTTTCCTGGTAAAATTAATTAGTTTTACCAACAATTCTAGTTAGTATTGTAATAAATTTTTTAAATAGCACAATACCAATACAAACTTACTCATCTTAATCACATATTATATTTAATAGAATAGCAAGTAGGTTTATATCAAAATTATTTACAGTAATACACAATATAAATCATAACAATTTTAATATAAACTAACTTATCTTAACCATATATTGTGGTTGGAATAGTAAGTTAGTTTACAATAACTTATAACAAAATTATAGCTTTCCAATTAGGGATGACAATGGTCAGTTAGCTATTAGCTGTATCTCATGATCTAGTGATTCAAATTGGATAATTTTAGTACTATTTGATTCATCTTAATAAGACAAATCAAATGATACTAAAATTATCTAATTTAGTTTACTGGATTATAAAATACAGCTAACAGCTAGCTGACCATTGCCATTCTTAATTTTAATGCAAATTAACTAAAATTTAATGCATATTATGATACCAGAAGTAAGTTCTATAACAAAATTTGCTTGCAGTAGTATACTAAGAATTATGATAACTTTAATACAAGTTAATACATATTATTTAGATAGTGAATAAATTTTATAACAATTTTTCAGTTGCTTATAAATAAATATTAATTTATTATGATTTGCAAATATTTTATTTTTGATTAAATTGTATAGATTGCAGCTCATCTATATAATTACCTGATTGTCATCCAAATATGTAATTGTAAAGTGATTTCTTAAACAAAAATTCAATTCAAATATATAACATTCATAATCTTTGTTAGAAAAAGTTATATTTGCTAAAAACTGTTTTGTACAATTGTACAATTGGACAATGGTCAAGTAATTGTATAGGTCTGCAACAATCTACAAATTTAATTAAAGATAAATTATTTTGCAAATTATATTTTAACTACATATTATAATTACTAGAAATAGTAAGTTTGTAACAAATTATTTGCAGTAACTTATAATAAAAATCATATTAATTCTAATACAACTAACTAATTTTTATTATATATTAATAGTTATTGAAATAGTAAATAGGTTTTATAATAGAATTATTTATAGTAATTCATGATAGAAAGAGATGTGGTAACTTATTGTAGTGGTCTAGTTATCACTTTTTCTAAGTGGCAGATCTAGAGTTTAAATTCCACAGATGATAATTTTGGAAAAATAGGCTTGTGTTATAGTTGACAGTTATTAATTAGAGCTATGAAAGATATTACATAATATCTATTTACTATAAGAGTACCTCATCCCTCTACATAAGACAATTCCAATTGGCCAATTTAAATATATATATAATATGTATATATATATATAGTTTTAATTATTACTTTAAGCCTCTAATAAAATTATATATAATACAAATACATGCTGAGATAATGTATTTTATAGCACTAAACAAGAACCTACAGTAATAATTTATTAGTAATCATTTAAGAAATATAGAATTTTTTATATTTTTATTAATAAAAATATAGAAATTCTTCATCATCATAATTTTACTAATTAATTATAATTTTAAGCTCTAAATAAATTCGTTTAGCACTAAAAAATACATTATTTTAGTATATATTTCTTTAGTGTTTTAAATTTTTTAAATAAAAATTAGTAAATTTAATAAATTTTTATCAAAAATGCAATTTTACATATCTTAATTATACAGATTAAGAAAAGTAAAGCAAATGTATATTATAATAATGTAGTTTTTTATGCTGAACAAGTTTACCTAGAATATAAAGGCACATTTTATTAGTAAAAGTTAGTTTATAATACATCTTTCTATATTTTTATTAATAAAAAAATAGAAAATTTATTATAAACTAAATTTTTACTAATAAAATATGTCTTTACATTCTAAGTAAACTTGTTCAGCATCAAAAACTATATTATTAAGACATATATATGTTTGCTTTACTTTTCTTAATCTATAAAATTAAGATATGTAAAATTGCATTTTTAATAAAAATTTACTAAATTTACTAATTTTTATTTAAAAAATTTAAAATACTAAAGAAATAGGGTGGAGTTAATAGAAAAGAGACAAATCATTTTTTTAATTTTTAAATTAAAATATCTTAACAACTAATTAACCAAAGTTGCTTAGAATTTTTTTATTTTAATTTTGAAATTATAAAGAATTAAAATAAAAAAATAATTATTAAACTTAATAAAATAATTGCTAAGATATTTAAGCTTAAAGTCAAGAAAACTTTTACATAGAAAAAATTTGTCCCTTTTCTATTGACTTTACCCTATATACTGAAATAATGTATTTTTTAGTGCTAAACAGGTTTATTTAGAGCTTAAAATTATAATATATTAGTAAAAAATTGAGTAATTAAGACTTTTCTATATTTTTATTAATAAAATTATAAAGTTTTTACATTATATAAATATTTACTAATAGATTATATATTTAAGCTCTTAGTAATCTTGTTTAGCATTAAAACCTATATCATTCTGGTACAAATTTCTTTAATTTTTAAAATTTTTTAAATAAAAATTAGTAAAATTGGTAAATTTTTATCAAAAATACAAATTTATACATTTTTTACTTTACAAATTAAGAAAAGTAAAAAAAAAGTATACCATAATAATGTATATTTCAAACAAGTTTACTTATAATGTAAAAGCCTATTTTATTAGTAAAAATTTAGTTTATGATAATTTTTTTATATTTTTATTAATAAAAATATA